TCTAATCTGCAGTTTAAATGGTCCTAGACAACATACTTCCTATATGCTGGGCTCTACACTGACCAAACAAATACATGATTATGACATTAATTCTCAGCTCAAGAACTTTCCATCTAGTAGGCTAGCCATAAAAAGAAATATAAAAATAAAATTATATTACAGTCAAATAAGAGCAGAATTCAAGATGTCAATAGGAATTCCCAATAGAAACAGAAAGAATGACTAAATATGCTGAGGGGGAAAGGGAAAGAATTCACAGAGGAGGTCAACTCTTAGCTAAGTGTCTTCAATAAATTTTCTAGAATAAGAATGTAAGGAAGAGCATCCAAGCAGTTGGCACATGTGAAAAATCATGGATCTTTAGGGAACTGTAAAACATTAGGTGTAGCTACTGTGTGGCTGCATCTGCAGAGAGTGATGAGAGATGCTAGAGTCAGTTAATGCTACTTAGGAAGGTCCTCATGTACCACGTATAAAGTGTTCAGGCTTTCTTCTACTGACAATGGGGAAACAACAGAGATTTTTCAAGTCAGGGAGGAAGGCAGGGAGGGAGGAAGAGTGGAAAAGAGAGAAAGAGATGAATTTGGCAAACTAACCCTGAGGACATGGAAGAATCAAGATGTGGGGAGGCTGCTCTAGTCCGGTAGAGACGATGAGAGCTTGAGCTGAGATGGTGCCATGGGGATGGAGAGGATGCTCTGAATTAGAGCTATCTCTAAAGTAGGCAATGAACATGTTAGCCAGCTGGCTGCGGAGGCTGATGGCCAGCAGAGGGTTAAAGCTTGAGGACACCCAGTTTTTGGCTTGGGAGTCTGGATGGGCTGTGGCACCATTAAACAGAGTGAGAAATTCAGCTTTGGGACTTCCCTGGTGGCACAGTGGTTAAGAATCCACCTGCCAATTCAGGGGACATGGGTTCAAGCCCTGGTCCAGGGAGAGCCCACATGCTGTGGAGCAACTAAGCCCGTGTGCCACAGCTACTGAGCGCACTCTAGAGCCTGTGAGCCACAACTACTGAAGCCCACGTGCCTAGAGCCCGTGCTCCGCAACAAGAGAAGCCACCACAATGAGAAGCCTGCACACCACAACGAAGAGTAGCCCCTGCTTGCTGCAACTAGAGAAAACCCGCACGCAGCAGCGAAGACCCAATGCAGCCATAAATAAACAAATAAATTTATAGAAACAAAAAAAAAGATAGGAGGGGGGGAAAAAAGAAATTCAGCTTTGAGCACTACCTAAAAGAAAGTTCCATTTGGGACACATAAGTTTTGACATGTCTGGGATATATCCAGGCTGAAAGTTCTGGTAGGCAGTTGTAAATATATCTTTAAAGTTTGTCAGAGAAATAAGACATGGAAATATCACTTTGGAGTCATCAGCACACAGCTGGGAACCAAAAACAATGGAAGAGAGTGGCTGAGAATCAGTTGGTGGTATAAAGTGACCAAAAATGTAAGTTGTGTGGTAGTGATGATGCAAGTTGTAAAGCTTGGTTAGCAAAAATTGAGTATCAAACCTACTCAGAATATCTGAGATGGAGACGGTTTCCAAACGTTCCTCCTATGGTTCTCTCAAATTCATCTTCTTTTAATTGAAGAAATAAGTTAATAATATCTTTTGCACTCAATGTGTTTTTACTTACATATTTTAATGTTATATTTTATATCACATTTTAACACTTTATTAGTAGTATTTTAATAGCATATTAATTAAATAATTTAATAACAAAAATGTGTGTGTGATCACCTAATGTGAAAAATTCTATCTTAGGACTTATAACACTGAATTAAAATACTTCATTTACATATCTTTCTCCTCCTGCAGACTTTGAGCTTCTTATATGGGGTGATGCTTTACTCAATTTTCTATCCCAAGGGTTTACTGCAGTACATGACACACAGTGGAAATTTAGTATGTATTGGATGGATGGATAGATGAATGGATGGAGAAATGGATGAATGGAGGGATAAAACAAGCCAGACACTGTTTTTCCAACTTAACCTGCTACAATTAATTTACTGATTAAAACATTCTCTGCCACCAAGAAGGAGCATTGCGTCCAGGGCCACCATGCAGTTTCACAGGTTGTTAACTGCACAAGGTAGCAAACAGGATTAAGTCAAGTCCAACCCAAGAAGAAACTTCTACACACGATGAAATTAGTCACATGATGAAGGGAAGGAATGATGGAATAAGGTAGTGGCAAGAGTGAAAACAGCTCAATAAAGTGAGAATTTCAAAAGGTCTAGTCACTCAGTGTTTTTTCAGTTGCTTCTAGAATTGTAGAGTTGTAGAGATTATAAATGGAAAAATGATTTTTAAATATGTTTGGAGAATTCCTAAACATGAGAAAACTCCAACAATCAATAAATAATTGTATGGTGATTTTGTGCCTACAAATTTTAAGCTCCTCTACATCAGACCTGAAGTTTATGCAGAAGAAAGACAGATTAGAAATATGAAGGGATGTCTAGCAAAGTCTGGAATTTGTAGGACATTCTGCTATAGTTAAACTGACTTACCCCAGAGTTTTCTTCAAACTAGCAACATATATATACATATATATATATATAAAAAATAAATTAACTCTATTAAAAAATAGGAAACTGGAAGCTGTCATACAAAAAACACTATTAAAATCAATAAACTGCTATAAGAAATCAAATAAATGCAATAATTAACCTATAATCATAATTGAGTCTTACAGAAGCTACACCAGCATCTATAATTTTCTATTTTAAAATACCCCATGCTTGTTTAATATATCCTTAAGTGTCAGACTTATTTTGTAAGTATACAAATTATTATGATTAAAAACCAGTTCTTTGGAAAAATTAAATATTTTATTGCTAATGGAAAGTTCCTAGGATAGAAGAGAAATACGGGCTTTTAATTTGTTTTTGAAAACGTACAAGTTAAAAATAGAAACCTCCTCCAAAAATCAGATTGCTTCCGAGTGTGACGCGCTATGGAAACAGAAAGAAAAAGCCAACTCAGAGGGAAATGTGATAAAATGTTATTCCGGCAGCTGCCGTTTCACAGTCCTCTTTACCATGAAATGCCATAACCTCGCAGCTACCCCCGGCCAAAGGCAGGACTTTATTTCTTAATTTCGGATTTTACTGAACTTTTTAAAGCAAGCAGAGTCAGTTTTCAATCATGATAACATCAAAACCCAGGAGATTTCAAACTTAAATATGGAAAATGTTTGAACTTCAGATCATGATCTTTCTACTCTCCAACTGACATTCAATCAGGACAATCAGAAAGATACTCAGTTTTGCCACGGCAGAGCCAATGGTATGCAAATATCCCCCAACGCTCTGCAATATCATCCAACCACTTAACCAAAGACACTTTCGAGGGTGTCCCCCGAGGTGGGTGTGGAGGAAGCTCGGAGGGAGCAGCCTGCAGAATGCAGATGCTGAAGCTCACTCTGTGCCATGGACACAGCATCCCCTGGGGTAGAGCCCAGGAATCTTCATTTCTAACCAGTTCTGTGGGGATTCTGAACGTTGAGCGAGCCTGCAATCTGCTGCTTTAGAGATTGCTCTTGATAATCTGGAACTTCTGCAAGGTGGCAGCATCTGTGACTTGTTGAGTGTCATTGTGAATGTTGAAGGTCACCATTCAAAAATTTATCTCCAGAACAGGAATTACACATTGGATTACTCCAACTAAACCTTCACCTCTAAGCACTCTATCTGTAGAAAAACCAAAAAAAGGGGCAGGATAGATTTTGCATAACTTAAACCTCCAACTCAGACTTTAGAAATAAAAACAATGAAGTGGCCATCCTTGCATGAGTAAAGCTTTCCACAATTCAATGTGTAATGGAAGTGACAAATTTTAAGACAAGATGTTGTAAACATTTTTCTTGCCCTGATTAAGTTATGAGCCCCAAAGATCACATAGATCAGTGGTCAGCAAACATTTTCTGCAAAGGGCCAGATAATAAATATTTTAGGCTTTGCAGGCCGTACTGTCTCTGTCACAATTACTCAGCTCTGCCTTTGTCACCCGAAAGCAACCATACACAATACATAAGAGGTTGTGTCCCATAAAACTTTATATATGAACATTGAAATGTGAATTTCACGTGTCTCAAAATATTCTTATCCTTTTCATTTTTTCCAACTATATGGTCTCAATGTTTGTGTCCCTCCAAAATTCATACGTTTGAAATCCTAATGGCTAATGTGATGGTATTAGGAGGCGGGGCCCCTGGGAGGTGCTTAGGTCATGAAAGTGGAACCCTCATGACTGGGATTAGCGTTCTTATAAAAAAGACCCCACAGAGGCCCCTTTCCCTTTCTGTCACGTGAGGATACAGAGAAGTCTGCAACCCAAAAAAGGACCCTCGCCCAACTATGTTGGCACCCCGATCTCAAGCCTCCAGCCTCCAGAACTGTAAGAAATAAATTTCTGTTTTTTATGAACTACCTGGTCTGTGGTCTTTTGTTATAGCAGCCTGAACTGACTAAAACACCAACCATTTAAAGTAAAAACTATTTTTAGTTCTTGGGCTGAACAAAAACATGTGGCAGCCAAGATTCGGCCCATGGGCAGTGGTTCGAAGACCCACGACACAGATCAAATTTGTGGAGCAGCATGTGGTGCTAGTAACTGAGGTACGTATTCAAAAATGACTTTTTTGAATATAAGACTGTAATCCAAGATCAATGCCTTGTCACTAAATAGAGGATAAAAATTAAACAAAAAGTCCTATGACAAAACTTGGAATTCTGATTCAGAGTTGATTTCCAGACGACATCTTACCAAATAGAAGTAACGCTTAGGTCAAATATTTCTAAACACATCTAACCTTCCTTCTGATACAGCCAAGCTATTAAAGGCCAGTGAACATGGGCGAATTGTTGGGGTCCATAGCATCACATAAGCAGAAATGCAGACGCAATCCATTCAGCAGGCAAATGCATGAAGGAACTTTTAAACACATGGAGTCCTGAATCTCCAACAGGAAGCTATAGCACTGTTACCTGTTGTGTCTTGGCTCAGGGTTTCCTGGCTGCTGCTGCTGTAAGAAGGCACTGGAGTGATGGACAGTGAAGCTGGGCAAGACAGAGGCGTGGCCAGCTCAGTCTTGCGAGTGAGGGATTGGTGATATACCGGGATGCCTGCATCTTTGGAGACGAAGAGAGGCAGATCTGACGGGAGAGTGGGTCTGCCTTGTGCATATGGATTTTTCCAGTGGGTGAGCCCAACTGCAACAGGCCCAGCAACGTCGTAACCTGGCAAGACAAACACATAAGGTCAGATCAGCAATCAAAGCCTTATACCATATTTCTTTCTGTATTTCCCCCAAAGTCTTAGCTGCGCGTCAAATCAAACACCACTTGAGATAAGTATGCATGTTACTGATAAATAGGTGGGAACTGTCACACTGGATGAATCTCGTTAACTAGTCAACCTATGTTTATTAAGCACATACTATGTTCTAGGTGCCCAGTCTTTGCCCTTAAGGAGCTCAGAGTCCAATAAAGGAGATAAGACTTGTGATCATAATGAAAAAGATAACTGAAAGTCTATTATGTTCTAGGTACTTTGCATAAGTGATTGTAATCCTTACTGCAACTGTACAAGGATACAATTACTCTTTCCGTTTTACAGGAAATTGGACCTCAACTTGCCCTAGGTCAAGCAGCCGTTAAGTGCCAGAGGCAGAATTTAAGCCCAGATCTGTCTGGCTCCAAAATCTATGTTCTTTCCCTTTTTCCAACTAACGACAGTACAAAGCAAGATGAAAGAAGTAGTTTAAAGTGGGACAAAAACATTCCCCAGGATTTCAGGGGACAAAGTCCTTTCTAGGTGGAGGAACTAGGTCGTGGAAAAGATGGCATGAACTTGGCCTTCTAGGCAAGGGTTGCCACCTAAAACAATCAGAGGGACAGATCTGTCCTGTAGATGTGTTTTGTTAGCCCACATTTTTTTTAATTTGAAGTTCAAATTAAAATTGACAACAATAAAAGTCTAGAGCATTCTCAACAAAAATCCAGCTTTCTGTCCTCTCTTTAAAAATCTCTTGATCTTCTCCTAAAGATCAAGCAACACTGGACCCATTCCCATGTGGCAACTGTCAGCTGAAGCAACCACAGAGCCACTCTTTTAAAGCGGAGTAAAGGAATTCCTGTCTGCCGCAGTCCCCACCATTCCCTAATACCTTACTCTCAGCCTGCTTCACTTATTTGTCTTACATGCCTGATCTCTGCAGGCCTTTGTATTTGCAACCGAGGTACAGAATTCAGACATATAATGTAAGGGTAGTCAGAAAAAAACAAGAATGGAAAGGTAGGTTGATACAAGACAGCTGAGGGTCTTAAATGCCAAGGTAAGAAAATTAGATTTTACTTGCTAGGTAAAGCAATATCCCTAAAAGTTTGTGAAGTGGAGACTGGCATAATCAAATGGACGGCAGCAAAAGGCAGAATCTGGGCCTCCTTCCTCTGGTGGTGACCCCTCCTGGGGAGATTCCTCTGACTCCCCCAAGCTGTCTTAACCACAGTAAAGGGAGGCCCAGTAAAAGGTGTTGGTGTGCAGGGGCTGGAGGTGTGCGGGGAGAAAGTCCAAATTGGGGACGGGGTGTTGAGGTACCAAGAAAGCCCAAAAGGGACAACAAGGGAGGAGGCACGCATGGATCCTGCAGACTGGCCGATGTTGTCGGGGGCAGCCCTCCCACACCACGCGGGAAACCACTTGAACATGGAGATGTGTCAGACAGTCCCTGCCCACACTTCACAGCCAAGTGTTCCTTCTCTCTATGTGTCTCTCTCATGAGCTGAGTATCCCTCAAGGTCAGAGGGTGTCTTAGTCATCTTTAAAACTCCCTCCCAGAATTTCTCTATTCAGCTCTTGCCCCTGGCATTCAATAGATACCCACTGCTCACCGAATTCTTCCTAGACCAGCGGCAAGGAGGTGACACAAGAGGCTGTGAAGTAGAGGCCAGGCAAACGTTATTAAGGGACCAACTTTAAATGTTGGCAGCAAGAAAGGAAAAGAGGTCCAGAGAGATACACAACAATGACGTGGAAAGAAAGGAGTTTGGGGCCACCAGGTAGCTTTGTTTTTTGCTGGCAAGATGTCAGAGAAGACTTATGGCAAACAGAATGGTGCATTTCCTCATCCTCACTGGGGCCATCAGAAGGACTGGCCTGGCAAGGGCTGAAGAAAGTTGAGTGTGTTTTTTTAGACACGAGGAGGTGGAGCTTTAGTGGAAATATCTATGCGGAAATGTCTGGCAGTAGACTGAAAAAAACAACGAAATGAGGATTAGGAGACATAGGACCAGAGCTGTAAATCTGGAACTCATGCACATTGAAACCACGCCTGCTGCCCAGCAATGAACAATCTACTTCATCGTCATAAAATGATAAAGCCACTAAAAGTTACAATATGTCTAATGCTTATTGGCAATGTGCTAAGGGATCTATCAGGACCACCTCATTTAACCTCACAATAACCCTGTCAGGAAGGTACTAATATTCCCATTTGACAGATGAGGAAACCAAGGCTAAGGGACATTATTACTCCTGCAAGGTCAATAACTACACAGAAATAACAGATTCAAGGGGCTTCCCTGGTGGCGCAGTGGTTGAGGGTCCGCCTGCCGATGCAGGGGACACGGGTTCGTGCCCCGGTTCAGGAAGATCCCACATGCCGCAGAGCGGCTGGGCCCATGAGCCATGGCCGCTGAGCCTGTGCATCCAGAGCCTGTGCTCTGCCGTGGGAGAGGCCACGGCAGTGAGTGGCCCGCGTACCGCAAAAAAAAACAAAAAGAAATAACAGATTCGAGCCCAGGCTCATCAAAGACAACATGGGTGCTCTGGTCCCCTGCCTCGCACTGAGAACACAGGCAACAAGAAGGATTCTAGGAGATGGAATCGGGGTCTGTTTCCCCCTCAAATCGCTCGTAGGTTATTTATTCCTTTCTGAACAATTTTTTATAGAGGGATCTCAATGGACCAGAATGCACAAGGAAAGGGAAATGCTGACACCCTTGAGAACATGCTGACTGGACTGCTTGTACTCTTCTTGGTCAGTCACCTTCCTAAAAGGTAAGTGGAATACAGTGAGGTGAGTGATTCTTTCTCCGGTAAGGGCTACGGAGCCTCTGAAGATAATCACAGAGAACACAAATTAATGTTCAGAACTGCGATGGAGCCACAGCTGCAGTGGAGGCTGAACTGAAGCTACTGACGCCAAGGCTGCCCCCCGATCCTGTTTGTTGGACTAAACCTCTGATGCTAGTGTGTTTATTTTGTGATCAATACTCTTGGATCTCCCGTAGCTCCTAAGAGTGTACTGGGGCATAGAAATGAAATTCTAGGAGGCACGATTTGAGTTGATGCTCCATTATGTTTTTATTAAAAATGTGAAAACGTATTACCTCCTACTCACACCAGAGAATCCTTTTACAAGAAGATAATTAGAGGACCGTGTTTTCCCTCGCCTTGTTGTTTCATTCGGAAACTTGCTTAAATGCCTCTTCTCTTTCCATATTCCCAAGCTCCTTGGGAGTCATTATACAGAGAAGGGTGTATAATATATATCACACACCGTGAAAGCGTTAAAAGTTCCAAGGAACTCTGGACTCTCCACAATTTCAGGTTTTACCATTTCTTTCATAAAATGATAGCTAATTTATAACATATACTTAATTTTGAAAAAATATTGTTCACAGTGCTAAGAAGCCACCCCTTTTTTTTTTTTACTTTAGGAAATGACCACATCCTTTAATCCAGAAATGGAGTTCATTAGCAGATCTATTAATTCATGTCACTGATACAAATGAGCTATGATAAGATCTGCATAATTTTGATGGACTAGAAATGGACCAGCCTAAATTTAAAACCAACAATGAGGTCAAAGTATTTGGGGTGGGTGGTTATCCAACCATCTAAGGGAACAGCTAGTGTCCGGGTGCCCAAGAGGCAAGTAACAGGAATGTCACATCGGCAGCCTCCTCACTCTCCCTCACCCACCATCCTGTCCCCAGGTCGGGGGTGGGGTAGAAGCAGGGGTCTCAGCTTTCTCTGAGTTGCATGCCAACACTATCACCCACTAGCCCCCAAATCCTAAACAGAGACACGTAAGGAACACTCAAAATTATAGGCTGTCTTGAGAAAAAAAATGATGTTAATCAACTTTAAAGTTCTTAAATCTTTCATACATGAAAAAATAGGAGTTTACTATCAGAAAATAAGGAGTTTTCAGGACTTCCCTGGTGGTCCAGTGGTTGAGACTCCACGCTTCCAATGCAGGGGGCGCGGGTTCGGTCCCTGGTCGGGGAAGGCGCGGGTTCCATCCCTGGTCGGGGAACTAAGATCCCACATGCCATGCCGTGCGGCCAGAAAAAAAAAAAAAAAAAAAAAAAAAAAGAAGAAAATAAGGAGTTTTCCAAGGGTCTCATGGATAGGTAGAAAAATTTCAGAAGGTGTCACTTTTTCTGTTGATTGGATTTTTTGACAATTCTTTTGGCAATTCTTCGGTCAGGACATAGGTTCCTATAAGGAACTACATTAACAGGAAGTCCAGAAGTGTGCTGTTCTCTTAAATGGAATTCCCTCACAAATGAGACACTTCTGTGTGAGATGACTATCCTGTAAGAGAAGGACGGAAGTACAGGAGATGAAAGAAAACAAAAAGAGCTTTTAAAAAAGAATTGCTAGATGACTCAGAGATGTCCTCCCTCCAGTACTTTGAGTATAAAGTTGTTAATTATTTGCTGCTTTTACTATAAATATTTTTTAAGTGCTTTGTACTGGACAGACTGTGGGCTGTGGACACTGCCTGATGACTGTGCGGAATCCATCCTCCACCCACACCCCTTCCTCCCAACAGAGTCACATTTTGTTTGGGAATTCATCCCACTCCCACGCAGCTTGTGACTCAGGGCAGACAGACCTCACGCTCCCTGACCTCCACATGGGCCATGATGGGTGTAAAGAACACCATCTTACCTCCCTTGTCAGTGATTTGCTGAAGGGTGGTCATGTGACCAAATCCCATGCAATGAGACAGAAGTCTCTGAGGTGCTTCAGGGGAAAGTTTCAGCTCCTCAAGTGAACACCTGAGGGAGGCACCAAAGCTCCTTTCTCTCTGATCACCGTTGTGCCTGAGTGAAATTCCTGGAACCACGGCAGCCTTGGGGCTGCCATCAAAAAGATAGATTTTCCCAGGAAGGCAAAGGGGAGGAGGTCTTTCACAACATCATCAGCAGCCTACTCAACCTGT